ATTATGAAAAAAAAATCACATTTTGTATCTATATTTTTCAGAAATGCCGCCTCGTCAAGACATCGTGGTGAGAGTGGAACGGGTCCAGGTGCAGGCCTCCCCACCCCCTCCCCCGCCCCCCGGGAGGTTCCAGCGACCTCCTCACGACCACCCATCCACATACATTAACAGAAACCAAAGGAATACTACGCAGAGAACTACGCAAGCTAATAGTTAAAAAATTATATTAAACTTTATAAGAAAACTGTAGCGGAGTCTTGATTGTACGGTATAAATATAAAAAATCGATATTTCTAGTACATTGCTCATTTTTATCTGCGCAAAAGGACTCGATTGTTTTTTTTTTAAATAAGTATGTACACAAGACCACTGACGATAGTTGTATAAATATTTTTTTGTAAATTATAATATCTTTAACTTAATAATAATTTAATATAAAATAGCGTAAGTAACTATAACAACAAAAAGTGTTAACAAAAAATATATTTCATGTGAAATTTAATTAAGTCATTATTAACATTAATGCGATTAAGTTATTTATACTGTTTGCTTTTATGTAATTTAATTATAATAAAATAAAATAATTTGAACTAAAACTTTATTATGTGTTGCAAAGTAGATTAAGTAAAATATACCTATAAAATTACGTTGCTTGTAATTTTTGCCTCTTCCTTCTGTAAAAAAAAATATAAATCTGTGTTTTTTCGTAATGTCAATTTAATATTATTACAGAAAATAATATTTTCGTATATTTGCGATTTTATTGCTCTTTTTTCTGACTTCAAAAAAGAAGAGGTTATATAGTTAGCCAACATTTTTTAAGATAAACATATTTAGATTAAAATATATATAGGACTCTATGAATGTTGAATATAAAAATATGTACTAGCGACTTCTTGGTGCGTCGCTTTAAGGTAGTGTATGTAATTTTATCTGTGGATATCATTCAATCCGTTTAGCCGTTTCATTCTGCAACAAACTCAAACTGTTTAGCAATTATAACACTAAAACCCTATGTATATAATCACGACAAAAATAATAATCTATACATACCTATAATAAAATTGTAACGAAGCCGAATCTGTACATTAAATATTTTTGGAAAATCTTATTAAAATAAACATTATTATCGATACAGAGGCCGAATCTATAGTTATTGGAATTTTTGTCTGTCTGTCTGTGTGTTACCGCATCACGGAAAAACCACTGGAGGGATTTTATGAAATTTGGTATGATGATAGCTGGTTATCCGGGTCAACATATAAGATACTTTTTACCGTGGGAAAATATCTCATTTCTGAGAAAAAAATACAAAAACTGCAATGTAAGAGTATACTATGTAAAACCTAAGAATTTGGTTTTTGGTCATCTCAGCACGGGCGGAGCCGCGGGCAGTGCTAGTATGCTAAATAAGTTTACTTTTTTAATGTTGGGCCATGAACACACAGCACCATCTATTTCCATGGTAAGCTACGAGGCTTGTGTTATGGATACCAGATAGTTGATACACTACACATATTACATATTATATAACTTCAAATATATACATATTATTTTATTTTATTTATTTTATTTATTTTTAAAATATTTGGGAAACATACAGTACAATAATACTTAAAGTTAATCCGATATACATAGTACATAAACCAGCGAAGTTTCCACTTATAAATGTAACATAAAGAGCACAAGTCATGTTAAAACAATAACGAATAATCTCTCTATTACTATCTACTATAATATTTATATTACTCGTTATTGTTTAAACGTTTCACTAACATCTTTTTCAAACAATCTATGTTCTCAGTTTTAAAAAAATCTACATCATTAAATTTACTATTGTAGTGCTCGATAGACAAAAATATTCTGCGCATACTTGCTTCGGGTAATTGAAGGATTAAATAGAGACTGATTGCGCGCCGCTAATCTGGGACATTTAAAATTTATACAATTTAAGAGGAACGGGGAGTCTATAAGATTTTTTATTATTTTAAATAGGTACACTTGGTCTCTGATCAGCCTTCTATCCGCGAGTGACATAATATTTAATCCGTCGTTACTTTGATCCAACATTGCGTACTTAAAACGCTTAAATTTAATAAATTTTTTTTGAACACTTTCTATGCGATTTATTTGTTTTTTATAATGTGGGTTCCAAACTGTAGAGCCATACTCAAGTATAGGTCGAACAAATGAATTATAAAGAAGTGTCAAGGTGGTAGGTTGGTTAAAATCTTTAGAAGTTCTAAACACAAAGCCAAGCATACGATAAGCCCTAGCTATTATTTTGTTAATATGAAGGTCAACTTATTGTCCAGATATATACCCAGGTCTCTCACCTCGGTCACTCGATTTATGGATACATCGTCAAATCGATAATCATATGCAGTAGGATTGCGTTTCCGCGAAAATGATATGATATTACATTTATTAATATTTAAATAAAGAGAATTATTTTTACAATACAAACATACTCTGTTGAGGTCTTCTTGCAAAAGTGAACAATCTAGTGGAGACGCTATCCTTCTACAAATTTTCATATCGTCTGCGTATAAAAGAATAGTAGAATGTTTAATTATTTTGGTGACGTCGTTAATATATAAATTGAAAAGCAGAGGACCGAGATGAGACCCCTGAGGTACACCTGATGAAACAGGAACGAAAGTAGAGCAATATCCCTTGACTGTTACAGCCTGACTACGATTCCGAAGGTATGAACATAACCACCGAAGTAGATCACCATGTACACCGGCTTCTTTCAACTTTTTTAGTAATATATTGTAGGATATTTTGTCAAATGCCTTAGAGAAGTCAGTGTACACGACATCCACCTGGTAACCATCATCCATAGATGACAACACACGTTGAACCAATTCGCAGAGGTTAGACTCAGTTGATCTGTGGTTTACAAATCCATGTTGTTGTTCGAGTATGATAGAACGTAGTAAGGGAAAAATAGAATCATAAATTATTTTTTCAAAAGTTTTTGCTATTACACAAAGTTTCGATATCGGTCTATAATTCTTAATATTATGTTTGTCGCCCGATTTGAATATTGGAACCACATACGATCGCTTCCATACAGCAGGCATTACACCAGTTTTTAGTGATTTATTAAACAATAAATGAATCGGATACGCGAGGGTAGCACAACATGATTTTAAAAACAAGGGAGAAAGGCCATCTGGTCCGTAACCCTTACTAATATCAAGATCTTTTAAATATCTCTCAACCGTATCTTGAGTAACAGTCAGGGAGCTAATACATATATGGGAGTTAGATGAAACATAGTCATCATCTGTTGAACTGCCAGGAACATCCGGTCCATAAACTGAGTTAAAGTATTCACCAAAAAGTTGACATATGGCATTGCCACCAGTAGCGATCGATTCATCATAAAACATTGTTTCAGGAAAGCTATTAGATGCAAGTTTAGACTTAACAAATGTCCAAAAATATTTACTATTCTTTTTAATTTGAAGCTCAGAATTATATATGTAACTATTGTAACAAACGGTTTGTATCTTTTTTTCTCTTTCACGTAACAGATCAAAAGTATCATAGTCACTAAGTCTATTATAAGTTTTCCATTTTTTATGATATTTAAGTTTTTCAGCGACAACTTTTTTAAGAGACTTAGAGTACCAAAATGGATAGCGGTCATTACCTACAATGGTTTTTACTGGGATCATATCACGAATAACATTATTAATAATTTGATAGAACAAATCAACTGCGTTTACAATGTCAGACTCGTTAAGTAAATCAGACCAATCTATATCAGCTAAAACTTTATTAATTGCATTATAATCCGCTATATGAAACAAACGTACAGTACGAGAAGCAGTAGTAATAGTTTGTGAAGTGGATATTTTCGGTGAAATAAGTAACGTAGGATGATGTGAGTCCTCAGGAACTAATGGATAATTACATTTCATTACTGAACATTCACAATTACCCATCACTAGATCAAGATATCTATTATTAGCGTTAGGAACAGTGTTAAATTGTTTAAAATTGTTAAAGTTAAGGAAATGATACACTGACCCTATGAGTATGTCATCATCGAAAAAATTCTGAAGTACCATTTTATTTTGACCATATTTCCAAACTGCATTTGAGATATTAAAATCGCCTACTATTAAGAAGTTATCATTGGGATGAAAAATTAATTCGGAAGAAACCAGATCAAAAAACTCACAAATCGCTTCATACTGGTATTTACTGTGAGGGAAATAACAACAGTATAAATGTAAAAATTTGGACGACGGAAGCAAGTCAAGTGATAAAGAAACTTTGACCACTTCCGCTGCGGAATTCGTCAATTTAATCACAGATGAAGATTGAATACGTAGATGTGATTTAGTAGCAATTAAAACACCTCCACCCAAGCTGTTTCCCTGTGAGGCGTAATCACGGTCACTTCTGTACACGGAATACCGACTGTCGAAATATTCAGAGTCAAATATAGAATCATTTAGCCATGTTTCGCTAAGGCACACTATATCGCAGTCAAACTTTATAAGAGATCTGTAGAAAATATTTGTTTTAGACCGGAGTCCTCGTACGTTCTGATAAATAATGTTAAGATCATTAGCCATTGCAAATCACATACACAATTTTACGTAATAAATTTACACACAGGATGTTTTGTCGTTCTTGTAACACAAATAATAATGATATAATTCTGGAAACAAAAACAGCGCAAAATATTATGTCCAAATGTAAGCGAAGCAAGTAATTATGGTAACTTATAAACAAAACAAGAAGTAATGATAAATTATAATCAAGCAACAATGATATAATTCTAAAAGCGAAAATAGCGCAGAATTTTTTGTCTAAACTTAAGCGAAACAAATAGTTATGGTAATTCATAAATAAAACAAAAACCAGTAATATATAAAAATCAATCGAAGCCAACACCAGAAGAACTAGTATAATATAATTAAGAGGGTAAAACATGACATAAAAAATAACAATTGAGCAGTGTCTGATAGCGCTTAAGCAATCTTTTTTAAATCGCAGAAATTAGCAATATGCAAAACTGGACTAGTATCACTCCGACGTACCATTATACTACAATTTTTGACCCATACATATTTATAAGATTTTTCTTTAGCGGTTTTCTTTACCAATTGAAGTAATGACTTATTTGAGCTAGTTAGATGATCATTAAAATATATGTAATTATTATTAGATGAAAAACCAATGTCATTACATTTTAGTTTAAGTTTTCTCACTCGAGACAGAAAGTCATCTTTCTTCCATCGGCAAAGAAACTTTACGATTATGGGCTTAACTCTCTTTACATCTTTGTCCTTGGAAGCAACTCTTGTGACTAGATCAATGTCCGTTTTCATGTCAAGATTCAAATCAGCTTTGTCAGCGATGTCTTGTAGTATAGTTACAAGGTTCTCGTTTTTCTTTTCGGGAATCCCATATATCTCTACATTAGATCTGCGAGACCACTGCTCGCGATTATTATTTTCGATCTCGATGGCCTCAACTTTAGACTTTAATGAATTTAATTCCAAACATCTCTCCGACATATATTTGATTTTGGATTCGCAATTGGTGATTCTGGTGGTAAACTCTTCAAATTTGTTGTTAAAGAAATCTAAGCTATCTTTAAAACTACAAACCTCCTCCCGTAAACTTTTGAGATCGCATTGCAAAGGAGCTAGGGAAGAAATGAGTTCGGTCCTAAGAGTGGAGATTTCCGAAGATACTATAAGTCTAACTTGTTCCAAAAATGAGGCTTCAGATTCTACTGATTTACATGGTGAGACCCCTGCAGAAGTCGAACCACCTCGTTGTAAATTTACATTCTCGCTATAATTATATTTAGTATTAGAGGTGCCACCGCGCACTGGTGTGTTATCTTGGTTCACTTGTCTGGGCATAGATGACTTGCATTCCGGGCAGATCCATTTACTTTTATCTTGATTTAGCTTGTTATTTGTGCCTGATGGGTTAACACAATTATAGTGATACTTTAGACCGCACTTTATACAAGTAACTCCCTCAGTGGCGCCTCCTGCCGTGGATTTACAACAAGCGTATTTCATTTTAAATTATAAAGATATAAATTATTCCACAAACGTAAATTTATAATAAATTTAGAAATTTCGTCCGACTTGGATTTGAACCTAGGTTGCACGGATGTATCGCGATGATGCGCGGTTGTAAAAAGCTGCTTATGCTACCACAAGGCCAAGCTTCGTTACTTCTAATGGTCGAAACTGTCGATCTTATAATGTAGACGCCGACACAACGAAGACTGAGTTCATTGACCTTTGTACGCACAAAGTCGATTCAATGTCACTGGGTTATAACGATTTTAACTATAACTTGTAAATAAGTCAGAAAACCATTCATTTTGCACGTTTATTAACTGTTCAATTAGAGAATACATCATATAGCTATGTCCATGGTAAAAACAATTAAGAATTAATAACGAAAACACTTGAAATATATTTAAAACGGGGAGACAAAGAACACTGCACTTGCTCTAACGAATCGCTGTGGGTAACTGTGATAATGACTATAATGAGTGTTTATATTAATGATAATGGAGTACAAACATTTATGCTGATCACGCAAATGCGTTTCCAGAACGGGACTCAAACCCGCGACCCCTGGCACCTACAAACTCAGCCAAACGTGTCGTCAAATTCATACTTATTCATATTTTAAATATTTCGTTTAGTAAATTCAGGTGACTTATTTTAAAGTAAACAAAATCTATGAATAAACGGTTAAAATTCAATTCGGTACGGTCTGCGCTAATTGTTTTGACTTCTAAAACTCACTTTGTCTCGACAGAGAAATTATTAACTGGAACATGAATTTTTAATGGTGTATTTTTCTTTGGGCATTTAACATTTCCATTTTTGTTTGTAATAAGAATACCGCTTTGCCTTTTTAGATAATGTCTACTAATATCTTGTTTTGAAATAAATTATATAGTATTTAATTATACTTAGTAAATTTAAATCTTTTTAATTTAAATAATATTAAGAGCTTAGCAAAAAAGTACAACAATGCACGAAAGTTATTTTAAAATTAACTGTTAATTAATTATATTTTTATTATTCAGTATTTTATTTCTTGAAATGTAAGTTTAATTTTAACAAAGTTAGTATTATTAGAAACTAGCAACTCACCCTGACTTCGCTCGGATTCGTCTCTAGTGAAAAACAGAAACAAATCTATTCCACGGGAACCGTACAATTTTCTGGAATATAAGGTAACTTATATGCTATTCCAGACTATAATAATCTATATCTGTGCCAAACATCCATGTCCGTTCAGCAGTTCTAGTGTGATTGAATAAATACCTAAATAAATAATAAATATGTTGGGACATTAACACACAACACCATATAGTTCCATGGTAAGCTACGAGGCTTGTGTTATGGATACCAGATAGTTGATATACTACACATATATAACTTTAAATACATACATATTATAAATATATACACCCATGACTGGAGTACAAACATTCGTGCTCATCACACATATCAATGCCAACAGCGAGACTCGAGCCCGCAACCGCTGGCACAGCAAGTAGGGTCACTACAAACTGAGCCAAACGTGTCGTGAATAACAAACATCCATTCAAACTTTAGCATTTATAATGGGATTAATGTCAACGAAATATTCACGAATAGGTACTACACGAATAAAACATCGAAAAATAATAATATATATGTAGCTATTATATATATATATATATATATATATATATATATATATATATATAATATATTATAAGAGTAAAAATATTTTTTCAACAATGTCTTTAAAATTGAAACGATCTTAAAAGTCCGTCGTAAAATGTGGAATAAATTCATCTGAAGTACGAGTACTTAAGGAGGTCCTTTTAGGAAAATAGAAGTTTTCGTGGAAAATTCGAAGTAGCGGTCTTACTGTTATATAATATGTAGGGTAACCTCCAAGTTGCAACCCTACAAAAGTATTTGAACAAGTTACATATTTGAAAAATTCACGAATGCTTCACTGCTTATTTTGTTGCTTTCAGCTTTCAACTTTTACAAAGTTCTCGTCATTTCTGTTATAGTCGAAGTAAAGTGACAGTGACAGTGACATTGACAAGTGGACCATTAGGACCAGAAAAAAAATAGATTGTGTATCTAAATATATACTTTAAATTCTTTTAAAAATAATTGTAATTTATAATTTATTTCTTACTAGCGACCCTCGCGTCACTCAGGCTTGACGACTTGATTACAAACTTAATGCATGTATTATACATATTATATTGTGTGCAAACAGACAGCGGATAGCAACTTCTGTAATTTAAAGATACTTAGTAGACTAGAACTAAGTAATGTTTATGGTCTTTCAATTTAGTTTTAGCAGGTTCATCAGAACTACGAAACTATAGATAGCTGTTTACATGGATGGATATTTATGAAAATATATTCGAAAAATGCAAAAGTGTCGGCGAGACGGGAGCGCTTGAATCATTTATAATCTAGTTACCCAGCGAGGACCACGTTCGTGCGCGGCGCGAAATGCTACTTTCCGAGAAACAGACATTTTTTATGACACTCCACGTTCATATTTTTTAAATATTACCTATTAATTTTAAATATATTCTTATTTTTAATATTTATACGTTTTAACAGTAAGTATGGAAGCCTATATAGGTATAAAGAATATGTAGGTAAGTATTTTAGAAAACAAAAAAATAAATCCCTTGAGGAATGATTAATTCAACATACAAACCCCATTCAAAAATTCAAAGGTCTCAAACTATCTCCATAGCAAATTTCATCTAAATCGGTTCAGCGGATTAAGCGCGAAAATGTAACAACAGACAGAGTTACTTTCGCATTATAATAGGTTTAGTTTTATTAGTATGGATTTTCGATGTTTTCGTATCTACCGATTTGTCGACAGTTATTATTTTTTTAATATTTTAATACATTCTTTTTTACAATCGCGTGTTTTTAAATCGTTATTAATATTTTTTACAATTTTACTTATTTGAATATTGCCTAATTTACAATAATACTTTTAATATCAAAATAGCATTATTATGCAATATAGTTTGGGGATAGATGCATCAAATTTTACGATTTTCAATGATTTATAAGCAATAAATTTAAAAATTACAGCACATCTTTGTCCCCAAAACAATTTTCAAATTAATATCCATAAAATTACCAGAGTCTTTCCTAAATGTTATGTCAAAAAGAAGGGAATATTATAAAACCTTAGCAAAGCAAAGAGAAGAAGCTTGTTTTAAACATTCAAAATCCTTAAATTACGTATGTCTCTCGCAAGCATAATTAAGATGTCGCTATATTAAATTCTTAGTAATGCTAATTTGCTACATTTCTGCTAAATTTAAAATTGGTTTAATTATAAAAGAATATTTAATATTTATATATTTAAATGATATTAAAATTAGTAAATGTAAGAGATTAGTGATTGTTGTGTTTTCTAAAATATTTAAGAATTATAAGAAAAACTATCGTAATCAACATATTAATTTATTTAGTACTTTTATTTAAAATAACTAAGCTAGCTTTCTTATTTCTTTTTATTTAGCTGCAGAATTCAAACTAAAACTTTAAATTGTTTGATATTAGTTTTTAGTAACTATAAAAACGTAGTCTCCAGAGCTGAGTGAAGTGGAAATTAAAATTTTTAATTTAAATGGATTCTACTACATTATGCGCGTTTTTTTTAAATCACAATCTTTAAACCAATATAAATTTTTGGTATATTTTAGATATGCCAAAACGTCGACAAAAAAACTATAACTGAGAAATTATATTTTTTTTTATAAAAAGCAGTCATGAGGATTGCCGAGTGCCGACAGTAGTGAAAACTTAAAACTATAAGCAAACGGTTGTTATTTTTGGATATTAAATTTTATTGTTTGATTATAAATTAAAACTTGTAAATTAAAACTGTTTACATTTATCTGGTTTTGCATCTATCAGCACTTTGAGTGTTAGCGTTAACCCGTCACATGACCATGTCGATGACGACTTCCATGAATTTACTTCCCATCACAAACAAACCTGCTTAAAGAAGTTTTCACTTCAAAAAAAACATATATTTTTGTACTAAATATGAAAAAATATTTTAAATATTATCAACTAAAATCTAAAAGATAATGTAAATAACTAAACAAGATAGCCGCTTGAGTCAGCTAGAACAGAGCACAACGCGAGGCAGGTGTCATTATTCCCTCGTGTAATTGATTGGCAACAAACAGTAAAAATAAACAGCGAGCGGCGGCCATGCGCGGAGCGGCAACGTCGCGGATCGATCGACCTCCGCGCGACGTGAAAGCAACTAAAAAGTTTCCTTTTACCCGCCATTGCCACTAAAACCCGCTTATGAGTGGAAACTCGACCGTTATTTATTCTTAATATACGCTTATATTGAGTCATTTGCGTTATATGCTATAGTTAAGTTGTAAATTGTTTCCAATATGTTAAAGGTTTTTTAACTTCAGTTTTTTTCTTTTGAAATAAATATGATTTTGTATACGTCCTAATTTAATCTATACATATAATAAAATTATAACTAAGTCGAATCTGTACATTAGATATTTTTTGGAGTATCTTATTGAAATAAACATTATAAACATTATTATCGATACAGAGGCCGAATCTATAGTTTTTAGAATTTTTGTCTGTCTGTTACCGCATCACAGAAAAACCACTGGAGGGATTTTGATGAAATTTGGTATGATAGCTGGTTATCCGGGTCAACATATAGGACACTTTTTACCCCGGGAAAATATCTCATTTTGGAGAAAAAGTACAAAAACTGCAATGTAAGAGTATACTAATATGTAAAACCTAAGAATTTGATTTTTGGTCATCTGAACGCGGGCGAAACCGCGAGCTATGCTAGTGTTTATATAAAAAAATATTATTAAAATGACACATTTTAGTAACCTCTTCTGTTTATTAAAATATGTATTACGTTAATTATAATTTTAGTACATTAGGATTCAAACCTTAGCTCCATCGATCTGCAGTGGATTTCCCTTTGAAAACGCTACATCCTAAGT